CCCCCAAAGAACTGCTTCCCTAATTATACCCAACTTCCGGCAGCATATCGGCTGAAGTCTGGGTGATGTGGAGCTCGGCAACATGACAAACCCCGTACATACATCCGTGTGTGCGCATATGTGTATTTACACACATATTACATCTCCCTCCCCTCCCGCCTCCGTTTCCTCATGTAGCAGGAAATAAAAGGGCCATAGGCTGAAGCTCAAATCCCTCCTAAGCAGAGGGAAATCCGGGTGTCATGGTTTCCAGAAAGGGAATACGATCTCCGTATGGGGTGTAATTACATCTTAGCTTTCTGCAGAAGAATAGTTTATGGCTTAAATGCTATTAATTGTAAGCCGTTTTGTTCCACGGGAAGTTGTTCATTGATAACTACCCAATTAGGGTTATTTTGCAATTAGTCTATTCACAGTAAATTTATTGCAAAAGGGGAGGCTGTGGTGCAGCAAATTAATGCATTGCCGGGCTGGGTGTGCAATGGCTCTTAAATGCCAATCTTATTAACCAGCTCAGAGGTCCCGGGAGGGTGTGCCATGTTGGCTGACGCAGTGGAGTCCACGGGAAACCCCCGGCAAACACGCTGCCCAACCACCCTGGGGGTGTCTCAGCACAGGGTGGGAGCCCCTGGCCACCACTGGCCACTTCGGCTCTCTTGTTTCCCCATTACCGCCCTCCCTTCTCCTTGCAAGGGCTACTGAGCATCAAGAAATACCGCCTCCAGGTTGCAGGCATCCTCAAGGTCCAACGGTGTGAGCTAAAGTGAAACCTTCTGCCTCCTGACGAGGGAAAGGCTCTTCGACCCGAGTTCCAATCCCAGCTCGACTAGCCACACACCTCTCACCACGTCCTAAACATCTTTCAGGAGCAATTTCCTCATCGATAACAAAGGGCTGATAGCGGACCTGCCTCCCAGGGCTGTTGTGAGGAATCAATGACCTAAGGCACAAACCAGGTGGAAAATACTACTACGTGAGATTAGGATCTAGCAGGGGTACGCGCACTACGGCCCACAGGCCAAAGCCTGCCCACCGCCTGCTTTTGTACACGGAGTCTTCTTGGAACATAACTAAGTGCTCTGTGCACGTATCGCTCACGGCTCCTTTTGCGCCATAACAACAGAGTCAGGTAGTTGGCACAGAGACTGTATGGCCCGCAAGGCCTCAACTGTTTTCTCTCTGGCCCTTTGCAGAAACAGAGGGTTGGCCCCTGGTAGAAGGAGTACCCGGTATTATTTTCACCGAAGGTCATTCAACTCAGGCCTCCGACACTTCTCTGCTGAGTCACGTGCCGGTAAACTGAAGATTCTGGAAACTTCTTCCTCCACTCATTCATCCCTACACCCTATCAGCCAAGTGCCATCAAGAATATAAATGCACACCGCATGGACAGCTCAGACTAGGGTTGAAATGCAAGGGAGAAATGAACCTTTTCTTTTTAAATCTTTCCATTTAAAAGAGAGTAGAGTCGGGGCGCCTGGGTGGCTCAGTCGGTTGAGGCCCCGACCTCTCGGTTTACGCCAGGTCAACATCTCGCTGTCCGCGGAGTTCGAGTTCTGCCGGGCTCTGTGCTGGTAGCTCAGAGCCTGGAGCCTGCTTCAGATCCTGTGTCTGCCTCTCTCTCTGCCCCTCCCCCGCCCATGTTCTGTCTCTCTCCCTCTCTCAAAAATAAATAGAGGGGCCTGGTGGCGCAAGGTCGTGTTAACTCTAAGCTTCTAGCAGGTCCACGATTCAGTCCTGTCGGAAGTCGCAGCCCCGCGCTCGAGCTCTGTGCTCGACAGCTCAGAGCCTGGAGCTGTTTCCAGATTTCTGTGTCCCCCTTCTCTCTCCTGACCCCTCCCGTTCATATCTTGCTCTCCCTGTCTCAAAAATAAATAACCATTAAAAAAAAAAATTAAAAAAAAAAAAAAAAAAAAAAGAGAGTAGAGTCCAGATACACGTTCACAACTGAAAACTCAAAAAAGTACAGATAAAACATTGAGGATGAATCCAAGGTTGTCTGCACCCTGCACAAAGGGGAACCAACACTTAAGGGGTTTGCTGCATATCCCTTCACACCTCTTACACACATCGCTCCTGTCTATCTCACCTAAATCCTAAAAAGTGGAAAAAAAAAATTAGGCTCACGACAGTGCTAACGTCACAGGATGGTAGATGAGATGAGCTAACATGAGCTAACAGAATGCTAAGTGCCTCGTGCAGTGCCTGGCACATAGCGAGCACTCCCTAACTGCCTGTCCCTTGCAGGCACTGGAGGAAGTAATACACACCAAGAAACACATGAGATCCGGTCAAGGGCACGAGGTCAGGTGCAGAAATACAATGAGTAACACTTCACACCTTCTGAACCATCCCCCACACCCTGCTGTGCTTATGAACACCTGTTATAGCCCCAACCTCTCCCTGTATCACAGCAAGACATCTGATTTGTCACTGGCCATCAGCACATAGAAGAGTCCCCAGTACAGGGCGGGAAGTGGGGAGAGACAGATGGTGGGAAGGAGAGAGGAAGGAATTTTAGATAGAGAAAACAGGAAGGTTGTTTTTGCAGAGCCTCCCAAGTCAATGTAACCAATTAGAAACCTTTCAAATCATATTCAATTACAATAATATTTGTGTCAATCTTAATCCCAATAGTCTGTGGAGAGAGAAAATGAACCCTATAAATGCGATCACCTCGGATTCCACATCAGCCCTGATTTTGTGTCTTTTACCCATTGCCATAATGACGATTGGCTAAAGCTATAACCAAAGGTAACTTGATTTTTCCAAAGCTTTTCTTATACAAAAGTTCAGAATTCAGACACTCCCAGAAGAAAAAACCTTTTGTGTTGATCAGGGGTTTGGAAAATAGGGTGGTCCCGGGGAGCCGGGGAGGCTCAGTCGGTTAAGCATCCGACTTCAGTTCAGGTCATGATCTCGCGGTTTATGGGTGCAAACCCCACATCAGGCTCTGTGCTGTGACAGCTCAGAGCCTGGAGCCTGCTTCCGGTTCTGTGTCTCCCTCTCTTTCTGACCCTCCCCCACTCACGCTCTGTTTCTGTCTCTCTCTCAAAACTAAACAAACGTTAAAAAAAAAATTAAGAAAAACAGGGCAAAATAGGGCGCTCCTTCTCAGAAGGTCTGAGAAATGGGAGCAGAACGGCACTGAGCAGGAGGAGGAGTCGGAGCCAGGGCTCGAGCTTACCTTCCAGGGGGCAGAACCGAGTCACCTTCTTGGGCATCAGCAGCCCGAGCTTGTGGCGGCAGTAGGTTTCCCCAATCTCCTGGCGGCAGTGCTTGGACTTGGCACGGGACAGGGCAGAGATGGCCTCCTTGCCCGAGATGTCACACTTGGGGGGCTGGTCGTACTTGATCTCAGGGGAGCTGCCCCCGCTTTTCCTGCTGTGGGGCTGTCTCGGGACATCCTTCCCACGGCTCCCGTTCACGGCGGCTTTCTCACCAGGAGGCAGCACCTCGTTGGTGCCCTTGCCCGGGAACGGATGCCCCTTCCCCTTCTCCTCCTCCAGCTTCCTCTTCAAGAGCTCCTTCTGTCTACTCGGGGCCTTCTTTGCCAGCTCAGGCTGGTGCTTTTGCTTTTGAGTCCTAGGTGCAAAGTTGCTGTTGTCCACATTCTCAAAATCTTTGGGGACGGAGTTCTCATTGTTGCTGTCTGTTCGCACTTTCTCTTTCGGCCGGTGAGAAAAGTAGCCATCCTGGAGAAGACGGGAGGAAACACAGAGGAGAAATGTCACTGAGCGGTCGTGCCAAGTAGGTTGGCCCCTGGAGAGTGGGGCACATAGGTTTGGAGGTCTGGGCCCCAGTTTCGTGTGATACCTTCGCTATGGGCTTAACTTAAGGTAGACTTTGCTCTCCGGACCTCAGTTTCCCCATCTGGAAATAGAAGGATGTTCCAACTAGGGACCAAGACTTTGAAAAATCTAAATGCTATGTCCATGGACCCCAGTGCTTTGTAACTAACCGCGCCTCCCTTTCAAGTAAGTTTCCTTAATTGTTTCTGCCCCTGGATCCTGGATATTCTGTTCTAGTTTCCTGTTTACATTCTAGCAGAGAGTGCTGTGATGGTTTATTTAAGGGCTGGGAATGTCATAAAAAAGTTATAAGGGGAAAAAATATAGGCAGGATATTATATATAATCTACTGCCTTTGGACATACTCAGAGGTCTACACCCATACGAGAAATGAGGTGGAGCCAGAGTGAACTCTGAGGGAGAGACGTCCTGGCTGTTTTGGAGGAGAAGCACCTGTTGCATTATGATCTTTATAATGAATCCTGGGCGGGGAGGCAAACCTGTAACACTCTTGTGTTTGGGCTCGACTCCTGATGTTTGTACCTGGAGCAGAACTGATTAAGTCACCCGGGTGTCAGGAGAAAGGCCAAGAGTCCTTCTGGAGACCATGCCTGCTAGGGATCTTTCCAGGAAGGCCCCCAACTCAGCTTCTCCGTGCCTAGGCGGGCCCTGGCCGTTTTGAGCTCATAGCAAATGTACCATTCAACGAACACCCTGCATCATTTCCAAAACAAGTTGCTTCTGCGTAGAGCCCATTACCGAGGCCTTAACCTGAAAAGAGTACCCACTGTTCCAAAGCTAGATCCAGAGGGGACCTCTAGAGCCACAGACGACGCTAGTTGGCTCCATAAGTCTACCCCCGTTGCTATAGAAACACAATGGCCATCAGTAGCAATTCTGAGGGAAGAATCCCCTTCGGTTTTCCTAAACGTGCCTGTTAACAATTGACGGGGAAGAAGATGGTCGAACGAAACGGCAGAGGTGGGGCTGGGGCCTGTGAGTGGGCTGAAGTGCTCCATGCAGCTCCTACTCTAGCAGGTGGGCAAACTGTGGCCCCTGGGGGCCTAATCCTGAGTGCCATCCACTTCTGTAAATAAAGTTTTATTGAAAAACAGCCACCACTGTTGGCTTATGTACTGTCTATGACTGCTTTCCCGCTCCAACACCAGAAGTGATGGTTGCAATACGATCCCTTTGGCCTGCCTAAATATTTCTATCTGGCCTTTTAAGAAAAAGTAGGCAGACACCGGCTCTCCAGGAGTATGGGCTCAGGAGGTTCCTCTTCCCCTGGGCTTGGTTTACATCCCTGTGCCAACTGTCCCCACATGGCCTAGTAATGGTCTGGAAAAGAAGTCACATATGGCTGCCTCCTTGTTGCCTTTGCCCCATCTCTCCAGGATCCAGCACCAATTTCTCCCGGACATCACTAGTCTTCTCATTTTGCATGTGAGGGAACTGACCGTTGGTGAGCTTGCCCAACGTACCCCAGCTGGTTGGTGGTGAAGCTGGGATTCGGCTGCAGGCCCCATGGCCTGGGTTACCAATTCCCCTACCCACTTGCAAGAAGCTATAGAGCCCCGTGGACCCTCATTCACTCCGGCTCCTTGGGCACTGCAGCCTGGCCTCCAACCAGAGTCCCTTCCCATCCACTCCAGCCCAGCTACGTGGATCTGGAATAGGCATGCCACCTCCAAGGAGCCATCTCAAGTCTGGCCAGTGGCTCATCAGGATGCAAGCAGTCACACAGAAAGAGGGACGGTAAGTAGGGCCACAAGGCAGCAAGAGCCAGGAGGTAAAGGTGTAGGAAGGAGGAAGCAGCCACCAAGAAGGGAGAGCGGAGTCGGTACTGGGTCCCGGCACAGCTGCTGGTGATACACAAGTCTTCTATCCTGGTCCGTGAAGGGCAAAGTGGCAGCTATGACCCCTACTTCCAGCCTTTCTTCCCTCCCCACACTTCTTCCAAGAAATCACCCTTGCTGAGACTCCACACCTCTGTTCTTATAACCTAAGTGAACCCCCCTGAGTTCCTCTTTTCCCTTCTTCCTGTCCGGAGGCCCTCACAGAAACCCAAGCAGCCTCTCGGCCACATTCTTGAGCACTTTCCACAAGTCACGCACCACAGACTCAGTGGCTCACAGGTATCACTTCCTGGATGCAGTCACCCCATAAGGGTTACTGTCCTTGCCACTTGACACAAAGAGAAGCCGAGGCCTGTCGCTCTAACCTTCCTGAGCACATACCAGGTGCCGGGCACCAAACTAAGTCCTGACATGTGGGGTGCCACTCAACCTTTAAAAACAACTTCCAAGGCAGGTACTGCGCTTCTCCCATCTTACAAAAGATGGGGGGGGGGGGGAGAGCCCAAGGATGCTCAGTGGCCTGCCCAAAGTCATCTGGGGGAGGAAGTGAGATCCCACAGGTCTGCTTCTACAACTTGCTACGGCGCACCACCCCTTCCGTTTGGCTGGGAGGTAAACTGAGGAGGAGTGAGCTCCCCCTTGTCTACTGCGGGGAGTGGAGGGGTGGTTTCCCTCTTTGTTCATCTTAGCCCAGGCTGGAATGGAAATGGGTCTTGGGAGGCTGGATTTCCAATAAGGCTCTTGACCAACACTTCAGTTCTTTTTCGTCTCAGCACACGGTAGGGCTGTACTTCCCATACCCTGCAAATCAGGCACAGCGGAGCAACATGCTGCGGCCAAGACAAGCGGAAGGAACCAGGGCACGGTTTGCCACATTCCCCTTTCCTCCATAGCATCCCACCACACTCCTGATGGTGAAGGTCCGGCATCCCCAAGTGAGCCTAGTGTGGAGCGGGGACCAACTCTCATACCTCTTGCACTTTTTCCCTCACTGACTCGCGGGGATCTTTGTTACGGCAGCAGAGTAACTCATCCTGACTGATACAGGAGCCAACCTGGGCTGCTTTCTTCCTCTGAGCGGTCCTCAGATTCAGGAGTCAGTTTTGGGGTGCCTTTTTTCGTTTGGTTTTGCCTCTGACAGAAATTCAGTTCAATGACTACTGCTGTCTGAAAACATGAATTTCAGTTCTGACCCCAAGCTTGTTTTCTAGGAGTTAACAAGAAGGTGGGAGTAAGCAGAAGAGTCTCTGTCTTTGCAGCAATGTGTATCCTCTCTCATCACACACAGCCCAAGTGTTATTCTGGGGTTGCTCTCTTTCCTCATTAAGGGAGGATCACAAGTCTGAGCAAAAAACCTCCATAAGCCACCGATTTCAAAAGCTCTCATTCTCTCTCACTTTCTGGAAGAACTTCTCCAGACAAAACCAGACACAGGAAACACTGCAATCAATGAAGCTAATCTGACCATCAGAGAACGTCTGATTCCTCCAGTTAATTTGTGATATCAGGGCCAGGCGCCACCATCAATTCTAATATAACTCCTGATTAATGCGTCATCTACTCAGAGAGGCTCCCACAATGGGAATGGTTGGCTCTGTGTCACCCTGTGGCCTTCTGCCTGGCCCCAGACGCTCCACAGCTGCCAAAGGAAACCAAAAGATTCCAGGGGAAGAGGGAAGGGAAAGATTTGTCTTCTGGAATGAAGAGTTCAAAGATACTAGACAGCTTCCAGAAAGGTCAGTGAGGGGCACATTCAATGACAACCAGGCATCATTCAGAGGTCTGAGATCTCCTGGCTCATGGAGTCAACTCTACTTTCTACAGTAGCTGATGAATTCTCCCTCGGCTTGTACCCACTCTGTTCTTTTTAAAATTTTATTGTGGTATGAATACTTAACATAGGATCTACTCTCTTAACCAATTTTTAAGCGCATGATGCTACATTGCTACCTATAGGTGTGATGTTGTACAGAACATCTCTAGAATGTATTCATCGTGCGTAATTGAGACTTTATGCCACTTGATTAGCAATTCCCCACTTCTGGCTCCCCCAGCTCCTGTCAACCACCATTTTATGGATTCACTGAGTGTGACTATTTTAGCTGTCTCGCCTAAGTGGGCTCATGCAGTATTTTTGTATTTCTGTGACTAGCTTTATTTCATCTTGCATTGTCTTCCAGGTCCATCCATGGTATTGCATATGGCAGGATTTCCTTCTCTTTAAAAAAAAAAAAAATGTTTGAGAGGGGGAGGGGACATGCATGAGCAGGGGAGGGGCAGAGAGAGAGGGACAGAGAGAATCCTAAGCAGGCTTTGCACTGTCAGCACAGATCCCGATGTGGGGCTCGATCCCAGGGACCATGAGATTGTGACCTGAGCTGAAATCAAGAGTTGGATGCTTAACCGACTGAGCCCTCCCAGGCACCCCAGGATTTCCTTCTTTCTTAAGGCCAAATAATGTTCCACTGAATGTACACACCACATTTTCTCTATCCATCCCTCGATGGACGTGAGATACTGCCTGACCTTCCCAGTAACTCTTCACCTGCACACCAAGGGTCAACAGCTCTCTGCTCTTCTCTTCTTTCCCCAGAGAATCAAGACCCAGACATCCAAATCCAGGTCCCCTTCCCTACAAAAACCAACCGTGGGAGGTTTCTAGGCAGATACAATCAAGATAACCATCCTGTCCTCAGCACTCACATCCCCTCCTACCGTGGCCCTTCATACACCTTGTGTCCTGAATCCTCTCAAACACCCACGGAAGCAGGCAGGAGTAGTCCTAATCGAGGGAAGGACATGAAGGCAGAGGGAGGTTAAACAACCTGACCAAGGTCATGCTGCTAGAAATGAAGTGACTCAAACTCCCTGTGCCTCAGTCACCTCATCTTGAAAACGGGAATGATGACAGTACTTACCTCATGGGAATTTTAGTGAGGATGAATGTATGTAAAACTTCCAGAATGTGCCTGCCACCCAAAGCAGGAAGAAGAATAACCACTGAATCCAGATTAGGTTTGCTACCAATGAGCACTGGGCCTCAACCATCTCACCCCTGACGGTCTCTGCCTGCAGGACAGATTGGTTATTATTTTCTCATTAGGATCAACTAGCTGTGTCCCCTTTATTCTTAACCAGTTCAACACTCTCACCTTGAGTTATTTATGCAAATGCAACCCTTTGACTTAGTTTATTTTAATGTACTTATTACAATGATTGTACATTCAAATGTTTGCTTGAGAGCTCCAAAACTCTAATTGCTCTGCTGATGCCTTACGTCTAGGCTGCCGCTAGAATCCATTTTTATTCTAGAGAAATAATTAAATGCAATAATGTCCTCTATTCTTATTCAACCTTGGGCACGTGTGGAGCCAATTTCAATCAGGGAGAAATATGCTAAACCCAGTATGGCTCCGAGAGGCAGGTTATGTGACCCGGGCTGCTGTTCGGAGGTGAATTAAGGATCCATGTGTGTTTCTCCTTGGTTTTCCCATGTTCCGATTTCAGAGTGGGTCTCTCCTCACCCCATTGACTGAACCTGGGCCCCTTGTTTCTGCTTTAAGGAGGTGGAGGGGGGTGGCTGTGTTTGTTTTACAACTACCCGCTCACTGATACACTGTCACTCTTATTTTTTGTAGAGAAAGAACACTGAACAGGGCGGGAGAAGACCTGGGTGGCTGTTTTGCTTTGGAGACGGTCCAATTTTCTCATCTGTAAAATGACAGGTCCTGTATACGTGTTCCTCAGCGTTCTCTGAATCAGCCACTAATCAACACGACTGACTCACAAAGTTCTGCCATTCCAGCTCAATGAGAAGTCATTCGTGGACTGTATGAGATCAGGGACTGAGAAAGAGATGGATACTCCCAAGGGCATCATGTCTCCTTCCTGACTCATTCTTGATTATTGTGTCCAGGGGCCCTTGGGCCTGGGAGGCATCATTTCACCTCTCTGTGCCTCAGTTCCCTCATCCGACCCGGGGGGCTGAGGCTGGCACTGTCCTCCCAGGAACCAAATTGACGAAACACAGAACACAGGGCTCGACACATGCCAGGTGCCGAGGAAACATGCCATCTATTAGAAAATACACATATGGCACTTACATGTCCGAAGCTCTATCCCAAGCCCCTCTGCACGTACCAGTTCCCGTAATCCTCGTGATGACCCTATCAAGAAGATGCTCCATTTCTCTCCCTGTGTTTTGGATGGGAGCACTAAGGTTCAGGGATGTTACGTGTCTGAATCTAGATCTAGGAAGGGGAGGAGCCAGGATTTGAACCCAGGTAGTCGGGGTCCAGTGGTCATGCCCGCCAAAACCACACTGCCTCTCAGCAGCTATTAGGAGTAGAGATGATGTCAAAGGGACAAGCTGTCCCACCCGCTTGCTCATCACGACCAGTTTATGGCTTCCTTTTGTGCCATGTAGACGCAGAGCCAGATGACTGGTGGTTTGCTGTTGAACCCAGTGTCTGAGGCTTCATTCCCATCACCAGGGTGACCGAGGCCACTGGGAGGGCCACTGGGGGAGAAGCCCACACCTGCTTCCAAAAGGACCTCAATGCCAAGGTAGGTGAATGGTGGAGGGGCAGTGTGCATGGTCGTACCCAGTTCGAATACGCAAGTACCCAGGCTGCCAATGCAAATAGACCTAACCCAGGCCTCTCGCCCAAGCTCGTTGGCATGCACTGCACATGGCTTGGCTGGCCAGTACTGAGAAGCCCGTGGGCCATGATGGGCATGGGCAGGCCCTTCTTTAACAGAACCCTAAATAATAAGCCTGGTGCGAATTCAGTTCAGCGAATTGAGTTATGTTAACAGGAAACACAGCATGGGATAAGGAAGGAGGGCACTGGATGGATGGAGCTGGCTTGGAATCCAGCCCTCACCCCTTAACCCCAGGAAAGGCCAAGATTTACCCCTCAGAGCCTTAATTTTCTGATTTACAAAAAAGGGGGTAAGGGGACCTACTTTGCAACGGTGAGACAGAGAGTAAGTAATATGGCACACTGATATTTAATTCTATTTAACAAAAGAATATTTAGCATGGTGCTTGATATATATTCAGCACTTAGTAAGTTGCAGCAGGAGGACATTTTTAGCTGGTACCTCGCTGTCATTTAATGAGCAAGCCCTAAGTCTTGGGTAAAGACAGGGACGTGAGGCATAGTGCATTCAGATCTGACCTCTGCCATTTGCTCAGCGGGTGGCTCTGGGCACAACACCGCGTGACCTTCACTTTCCCTGTCTGTAAAATGGACCTAACTAGCACCTCCCTCATGCAGGCCTCTCTGAGAGTTAAGAGAGTTAATATACATCATGCGTTTAGCAATAAGGCCAAGAGCTTAAGAAGTATTACCTGTAATTCATTACAATGGAGTCGACGCTTACAATGGTGGTCTAACGTGGTGGTTCTCCAAGTGTGGTCTGGGGATTCCTGCGGGTCCCTGAGACCCTTCTGAGTCATCTCCAGGTCCTTATTTCCATCAAAATACAAAGACATCCTGTTCCCTTTTTCTCTCATTCTCTCACAAGCACCTAGTAGAATTTTCCAGAGGCCACACGAGGTGTGAAATCACAGCAGATTGAAAGCTGGAGCAAATGTGAGAATCCAGCAGACATCACAGAGATTTGCAAAAATGCAAAACAATGCCCCTTTTCACGAAATGTGTTTTTGTTGTGGAAAACATACCTATTTTTCAGACTTGTGCAGTCTGTATGTTTACTTGTGCAGACATGTTATGGGGGATCATTGGCATTTTAAGTAAACTAGTAAACATTTTAAGAGTGCCTTAGTTTAAATTTCAATATACAGGGAATAATTGATAATCTATAAAATCTATGTAAACCAAAGCTCTCTGAGAGTCTACAACGTTTTGAAAATATATGGGGGTCCTCAGACCAACAAGTTTGAGAATGCTGGCGTAATACATACTTGCGATTCTAAATATCCTCTCATGACTGAAATTAAAGGCGTAGGACTTTTTTCAGTTCCGTTGTTTCCCTATATGCCAAGCCTTTGGATTTATACTTTACTTACACACACGATAAATACACGTAAGATAGAAATCTAGGTCAAGTGGAAACAGGGTGCTGTTAAATACTTTTAGAGGGAGAGAGGCAGCAGGAATCCAGATCCCTGAAGCCCCGGAACTATCTTCTGGGAAGGAAAGCGACCTGCTGAGAAAGATTTCTCCTTGACCAAATTGAGATCGGCTTCCTGTGAGCCCCTTCTCAACTAGGCCTCAACCTTGGCCTATAAAGCCTGGAACCAGCAGTGACACAGTTTCTGACAGCTCAAGGCCACATTCTGAGGATGATACCCTCTCCCTCCCGCTGTGTCGTGCCTACCTGAGAAAACTCAGGGCTGCCAGAAGCATTTAGTTGGTTCTAGCCAACCCCTGAAGACAGGGTTCCTGTGTCCCCGCCTCCTTGGGAGGGTAGGAGCAAACCTGGACACATGCCAGTTAGCAAACCCAGGTGGGTTTCATATAGACTGATTCCCTCTTCCTGCGCTTCGCCGTTTTTCTGTTCCCTGACTTCACTGAGCCCCTCCCCCCACCCCACCCCTGGCAGTGAACCCTCCCCCCTAGCATTCCTTCATTCTCCCCTTAAATTTTTTTAATGTTTGTTTACTTTTGAGAAATAGAGAGAGAGAGAGCGCGCGTGCGCGCCTGTGAGTGGCAGATGGGCTGAGAGAGAGGGAGACCAGAATCCAAAGCAGGCTCCAGGATCTGAGCTGTCAGCACAGAACCCAACGCAGGGCTCAAAACCACGAACTGTGAAATCGTGACCTGAGCTGAAGTCAGATGCTTAAAAGACTGAGCCACCCAGGCTCCCCACATTCTCCTTTTAAAATGCCCAGTCACCTCTGTAGCATTCGAGGTGCAGTCCAGTTCACGCTCGACTCCTTACCCTACTGTCACAGTATTATTACCAATTAAAATCTGTCCTCATGGCTTTGTCTACCGCGGATACTGCCCAAGCCACACGGCCTGGACCTCAACCCTGTACGCAATACCTCATCCAGCGAGGACCGGACTCCAGTACGCGAGTCCAGCAGAAGCGTGCTCAGAGCCCAACACAAGCTGGGCCCACAAGCTTCTTCCAGTTCCACCAGGCATTGGAACGGGGCAGCGGTGGCTGGGGAAGATCTGAACTTACCTCTTCTGGCTGTTCATGTGTCGGACAGTACGAGACCCAGACGTGTAGGCAGAAAGATGGAGGGGTAGGAAATGATGGCAGAGGTGGGGCAGGACCAGAGGAAGAGGGAGGCAGTGCAGCAAACAGGGGCAGGCTAACAGGGACCACCTGTGATGACGCACCAGGCACCGCGCTACGCACTCCCCTTGGGACAGCCTATCCCTTCCTCCAAACAGGCCCAGCAAGCACGTCAGGGGTCAGCCCCCTACAACGCACTGCCATCTCTGTCTCTGAAGCTCTACTGGGACACAGCCACGCCCGCCAGAGGCAGAATGGCCCGCCAAAGCTGAAATCCAGCCTTTGTAGACAAAGTGGGCACTGCTTCAAATAAGGCCAGCCCAAGCTTGCTCACGGTCATTTGGAGACGCAGGGTGGGGCTGGATGCCAGAGATACGGTGAGGGTAGCAAATCAGCTGCAAGGACAGAGGGGAAGGTGAGAAGAGCTTTCTAGGAATGACTACTACCACCACTAGTTTGAAAGAAAACGCCCAACACACAGCAGGGGTCTCTGCAGGGAGGCCTCATACCTGAGAAAGCAAAGAAATGGTCTCTAAGGTTGGCCCCTTCCGGAATGTCATTCGAACCTGAGTTTGCCTGCAATTACAACTTTCCATCAATTCATACTGAAGGCCACAATACCCAAAGGTGGAAAGGCAAAGAAGGAAAGAAGATACGACAGAGAGAGAGAGAAGGAGATTGAGAGAGGGAAGGAGCAACCCAGTCTTGTGTCAATGATCAAGCCTTCTGGGCACCTCTACGACGGTTTCCCAGCGATGACAGTGCTGCCATGTGGGCCGGCTGACACTGCTGTGGGGGCGATCCTGTGCACCGTAGGATATTTAGCAGCAGCTGTGACCTACCCATTAGGTGCCACTGAGACCCCTTGTGAAAACCAAAAATGTCTCTAGACTTTGGCAAATGTCCCCCGGGAGGCAAAATCACCCCCTGTGGAAAAGCCCGGCTCTGGGGGCATGTTCTGTGGCAGCTGATGCTAGTGGGCCTCAGCTGCTCACACCCTGTCCCTGTCCAGGAACAGCAGCACCTCGTGACGAGAAAGGTTGTCTGAACAGGAGAGCTAAGCCAGGAGGAAAGGGCCTGAGTTAACCAGGCAAAGGCACTCAAGGTCGGGGGTCGGGG